TCAGGTTCCTTCCATTTATGCTGATTGCTGTCTATTGTTGCTGTTGCTGTTGGTGGTGTTGCCCAGGAATCTTCATCACCTCAGAAAATATTGCATCTAAATTTAAAAGGAAATAACGCAACAATTGTACAATCAGTGGATATAATTAATTCCCTAGGTCAACCAATGCTAGCTACTGCCATAATCAGATAGGGAAGTCACTGAATGAGCACTTTGTTCACCCTTCATGACTGCAGGAAAGTAACCAGTTGAAGATAATGCCTGTTCATTGATTGCGCTATTAGGAGATTCAATAGGATCATACAAAGTACTCGTAATTTGGCTTGAGGATTTCATTATGAGCTGACATCAGTTAGAGAACCATTGGAAAACGAGGTGGGAGTACTGGACAGCTGTTTCGTCAGTAGGCATTCACCGCCAGAGGTTCGAACTCACGAACTTCTTGTAACCAGGAGGTCAGCTCACGATGAAACCCTCCAACCAATCAAACACAACGCCTACAAAACCAATACATGAATATATTCATATATATTTATCGACCATCAGCTGGTCGCTCTACTTTTCTAGATTTGTCTCGATTTTAACCGCTCTTTAATTACGTCAAAGTATATTCAGAATGGATGCATGTCTGCATATTTTGCGTCTACAAAAAAAAAAGAAAATCTGAAAAATCAAGCAGAGGAACAGGCCAGAAAGAAAAATGCATACAACTTGTTTTTTTTCCATCAGTTTATTAAAAAAAAAGAAGAGGGCAAGCATGCCTACTTAAATCAAGGATTCAGTGTGCCTCTTTCATTATTTATCGATGTCGTCAATATCTTTCGCATTACTATTATTATTATTATTATTATTATTATTGCTACTGCCTTTCTGTTCAAATTTTTCTTTCCAATTCTCTTATAATTATATTTTGTTGTCAGCCTTTCCCCCTCTTCTTCCTTCTCCTGGCTTTCTGATAAATCTTAAGAAAATAGGTGAAAAAACAAGAACAGCAACAATAACAAGAACAGTGTGTCTGCTTTATTCTCTTTAGAGAAGGAGGAGAAGAAGGCGAAGGTGAAGAAAGTTGAAGAAATCTAGTGGGGAAAGTAGAATAGGTGGGAAGAAGCGGAGAGAAAGAGAAAGGAACTAAGGAGAACAGAACGCCTACAAATTATGTACATATATATATGCATATATATGTTGATAAGTTGAATAAAATAAAAAAAATAAATTAATTCACAATCACGCAAAATAAATTGAACTTTGAAACAAAATTAATTGAACTCTTAAACTTAACAAGCATAACGATAAAATAGTATGAGCAGGCAGGCAGGCTGACACCTAATCATTCATTATAAAGAAAGAAGCGTTGAAAAATGAACAGGCGCTAAGTTTAACAAATGTGAAGGGGAAAGAAAACGAGAATTTATATATGTATATATATATATATACATATATTGTTTTGCTTTTTTTTTAAACAAACATCGGTTGAATGATTTGAGAGTGTGAAGAAAGAGAACAAATATGCAGATTAGTTTCGAGAGTAGATTTTTGTGTGGACAATAGCAACAACAACAACAATAATAATAATACAAAGAAAATTGTTTATATTATTATGATTATTATTATGGCATTGAATTTGTAATAATAGTAATAATACTACTACTAATAATAATAATCATAAAATTAGAAATAGGCGGGTAAGACATTGGATAGAAAAGGCTGAAACACGCGGCAACTGATGCTGAGCATTAAGTGGAGAAAGCATACACGTATATAATTCATTTTTACAGCTTAATACTTACTGCTGTTAAAGAAAAGCAAGCTCCAGTGATTATGTATAATAATAATAATGCATGTAAGCAAATTCTACACCTTTGTCCAAATTAACAAACCGTGACATCTAAATTCAATAACAAAATAGTAATAATAGTAGTAATAACAGTGGAAATAAGGCATTTATATAAGGCATTATTTATTTATTATACACTGTACTGTATGAAATATTTCCAAGAATGTCTGTATGCGTGTAAGTGTAAGTCTGTGAATGCATCATGCACAAGCTGGTGAAGTCTTTGTAGAATATAGAACTCAATAGCCAACAACCCTTACATGCCTATGAAATTATTATTACACAATCGAATTATAAAAGTTGAACATTGAAAGAAAGAAAAAATGTGTGTGGAAAAATCTTTTCGGCTAATGTACAGTAAGTAAGTAAGTAAGCTGAAACTGAAAATATTTTGTTGTAGGAATTAAAATATGTTTATAGTTCCACCTTGTCTATGTGTGTGGGGGTGACCAAGTGAGTGAGTGAGTGAGTGAGTGAGAGGGTGCTTCGTCTAGTTCAAACAAGCAAGCATGCAAAGCAAAATTTAACTTCTAGCAAAATTACACTGTCAAGCTGAAATAAAAATAAATAAATAAATGAATAAATAAATAAATGAAGAAAATAATTGAATGTGGATATTTAATTATTACTGTTATTTTTATTCTTATGATTACTTCTCATTTTTAATGATAAGGTTGACTAAATATGCACGCAATCAGGTGTAAATGATTTGAAACACTTTTAACTCTTGTTATTATTATTATATTTATTCCTTGTTTACTTGTTCAAGTGAGAGGTATTCAATCGCCTTCAATCTATCGGCATCATCATCGTTACAGTTGTACTGACAAGAGAAAAAAATACAGGCCCTAAGAAAAATAATAACAATAATAATAACAGTTATAGTAATAAAAACAGCGATAAAAAATTTCTTCAAAGTCTTAATTAATTTGTGAAGTGACACGTTAGAAGAAAAAAAACAGTTAACAAGTGGAACTGTTTGAAATTTGCAGGCTATAACTGTGATTTGTCCCCAACCAAAGTGTCTGTAAGCATAGAATATGCTGTACACTGAAATCCTGCTTAAAAGAAATCTAACAGCAGGGTAACTAATGAGAGACGAGTACTCAACTGTCTACTTATCAGTCAGAAAGATATACTCTATATCCCGAAAAAAGACATTGACATTGTCAAGTATGATGACGAGTTGATTTCAGTTAGAGAATCACTGAAAATCAGTGAATACTGGAGAGGCATTTTGTCCTAGTCTGGGACCCTTTAGCTATCTGTATTCAGCGATAACCCCACTGGGGATCGAACCCAGGGCTCGTAGACCATTCAGCCAATTGGCGACTGTTTTTGGCGCCACCGGCAGCTAATGTCATCGGTGAGTATTGATCCTCACATACGACCTGGTAGTGAATCTCACTGGTCGTGACTCCTCACTAGAATTGTAGGCAACCTCGTGGTATAACAAGTGGTATAATAAGGTGAGCAATATTGAGGTTAGGCGTCGAGTGCTAGGTAAGGAGGGGAAATCAATCTAAGAGGCTGTGAAATTACATCGACTGAGATGGTTAGGATGTGTTACGTATGCCTAGTCATCGCCTTCCTCGACGGGCAATGTTAGCTGATATAGGGTCAGACTGGAAAAGAGCTAGCGGCGGTCTAACCAAAACATGGCACCAGTCAATGAAATCTACAACAGTTAGTCTAAGCCACGTAGGAAGGTGTAGACTTCCTGACTGGTTGGGGTCCTCGGGACGGTAAAAACCAATGGTTGGAAACAATTGGTGACATGGCTCAAAATCGTTCTCTATCACTCCTTGTGACTTATGATTTCCAATGAAACTGTTTTGTTCTTCGTTATTACTATACCTTTGTCTCACACCTCTGTTTACTGTCTATATTATGCATTTCTCCTAATTTCTTCTCTTGCTTTGTGTGCTACATGGAGTGTGGTGACTTGAACTGCTGCACATCGGTGCAAAGTTCTAAGTCGAAAACCGACCGACCGACCGAGGCACCAGATGTCACTGCTGAAGACTCCCAGACTGGGAATAAACACTTTTTAATGGTTCTTTAACTGACACTAATCCATTATCAATCCAGACGCCCAAAAAATATCCCTATAAACTAACACTAACCAAAAGTTTTATTAAGTGTTTATGTATAATAGCGTATATATCCGGTAGGCTTTGCGTGGAAATACCCGCTTAGAAACGGTTTATGTTGTGAAAGAAGAATAATAAGAATAAGAGTGTTCAGTGTGATCAGTAAGTGTGTTCCGTGTTAAACTGTTAGATTATAGTTGAAATTTTTTGAACACAGTACGAAGGAATTCCAGCACGAAACAGACAAATTAATAAAAAAAAGGTTATTTTCCGCAGAAATGAACACCTTTATTACTACTAATTACTAATTATTTTTTTCTTTCAAAATCCCTACATAACTACCCGTAAGTTAAAGTGACAGTGGAAATCTCTTTCGATAAATAAAAAGTATATATGTATATATTTATGCTCTTATACTACTTCATTTATTCCACCAATGTCAAGATGAACGAGTGTTGTGAACTTAAAGTTAAAGAAAATTGTTACAAAAAGCAAAATCAGCGACAACGACAGTTGAATATGCCTACACACACCCACACACATGTCACGTCATGATCACAATATCTGTGGGTAGGATTGTGCTGTTCATAATTTGAATTGCTATGACATTGTTCTGTCTTGTTGTGTTTTTTTAACTATCTATTCGATCGAGATCACTGCTCTGGGCGGGGTCATCGCCTGAGATATTATTGTTGTGAGTATTTTTATTAATGTAGTCTATCCCATAGGAGAATTCTTGCCACTTCTAATACTAGTGTAATTACCAGTAAGCCTTCAAGTTCAAATATAAAACACTGGAGATATTCAATCAAGTATGAATATACATATATATTCATTTCAAGTAGGTTTCGTAACACTCTTTTCTTATTTAACCTTAACATCTGGTGGTGGAGAGCAGTAACAGGTGAAAAGGTCTGGTTTGCGTGTTCAAGTGAAACAATGAAGAATAGTGTTCATCAAGATAAAATGTTATTTTTAATAATTTCTACTTGATTTACTAAATTTACACAGTTCAGTTTATTCAAAAGATTATTTACATTACTGTTTTTTTTAAAAAACTTATTTAATCACAGAAACGGAGATTCCGTCAATATCCACTCAGTCAGTCATATCTTCCGGAACACCGTCTATGAAAACTTCAGATGATGCATTGCAGGTGTGTACAGCACTGAGTAGTGATTGTAAAACTGAAATGCCTACAACAGAATCTCAGCTCCCTTCTAACTTTCTTACATCCAATCCCCTTGTGTCTACGACAAATTTGATGCCATTTTTTCCACTTAATCTGACAAAAACTGCAGAAGAAGCATTGAGTGATAATCTCGATGCAGGAATGAACCAGTCATCTCAGTCATCTGCGTGTGGTAATGCTGACTCTAAGAGTCAACCGTCAATTGCTTCTGCAGCTGCTGCTGCTGCTGTCTTTTCTGGTCTCCCGTTTAATCCAGTTGCTGCAGCTAATGCAACTAATTGTGCTCGACCCTGGAATGCTATGTCGCATTTATCTACAACCAGTGATTCAAGTAACTATTCTACATTAAATCAACCGAACTGTGCAATTTCACCGACTAATTCAACGGGAGTTGCTTCAAGTTCACTTGGTCATACAGGTGTACCACGAAAATCACCTAATCAGATGCGTGTCCTATGTGATATATGCAATAAATGGATATGTAATAAATATTTTTTGAGAACTCATAAAGCCAATAAACACGGCATAACAGACTTAAGTCTTGGTTCTTTGGAGAATTATCGACCTGGACTTGGAAAGTCAACTTCTGGCATAAAATCGCATATGCACACTTCGTTCCGTAAGGCTTCCAACCAGTGTGTCAGGGATTCCCCTCACACGGACGATAACGATTTTATTAACTGTTCTAATCTACTTCAAACGTCCAGTTTACATCCAGTGCTGACGACTCCGTGTGAATCACAACAATCTTTGAAAAGTGTGCCATCTTTACAGGAATGTCAAACTCACAACTCAGAACAGAAACCAGTGATTATTGATAATCCTTCAGAAAATTCACCTCCAGTATGTCTATCTGAATGCAATGATATTTCAGGAATAAATGGTTCACTTCCTCTAACATTCCAGCCCACTGTTCCTCCGAATTTACCTTGGCTTGGATATGGCTTTCCTAACCAATCATCATCTTCTATCGGGTCGTATACAGCACTAAGTTATCCAAGCATGATTCCATTCCCACTCCTTCCAAACTCAGATATCCATTCATATTCATCGCAAACAGAAATTACTGGAAAGTTGGCGACAAGTGATTTGGCTTTATGTACTACTGATTCAGAAATGCAAAACGAAGAGGACAAGGTAAGTATTGTACTACTATCGACATGGAAAGTAATTAATAGCACAAAAATTACGGTTGGTAAAAGTATATGGTGACACGCATTCCGTCAACTGACTTATTATTTTCAAGTAGGGATTTGATTGATTGGTTACAGGATTTCCTGATGAGCTGGAGTCGGTTAGAGAACCACTGGAAAACCAGCTGGGAGTACTGGACAGCTGTTTCCGTTGTCCTAGTGTGGGATCGGCTTTTCAGCAGCACGCACCCACCACCACGGTTCGAAACCCAGGACCTTCTGGTTACAAGGCGAGCTAGACCGTAGACTATTACGCCACTAGGACCTATCCAATAGCCAGCCCATGAATTCCAACTAACATGGCGTGACTGCTAGCCAATGTCTACTGCGAGTATTTGTCCTCACACCCAACCTGCTGTACCCCACTCACTGGTCACGACTTCCAAGTACCACTAGAACCCAGGTCACTACCTACCTGAATAGGGCCGGTCGCTAGTGAGCATCTCATTGATATTCAAGAATTGGTTTGTAGGGATTAATATTATTATCATTTGATTTATCTCCTCATATAAATCCTGTCAGTTTATCTTTTCCAGTTGAATTCCATATGAAATTATTGATGAACTGAGTTAGTCTTCATAATCGTTTCATAGTTAGATTGTTTCACTCAGCACCTAAGAGTTTTCAGAAGCATCCCTGTTGGAATTTCACATATAACAATAATATCTTTTGATCACCTTTCATTGTGTTTCACTGTAATCCACTATGGATTTTTGTGATGATGAAAATCACTTGTTTTTTTTACCGGAGAGAAATCTTCAACCCACTAGTTTTAAAAAATAGATATAAATCACACAAGTAAAGATAATATAGGCAGTTGTGTCATTGGGAACATATTTCTTTCTTCTGAGGAAGAAAAACTAACAGTTAAAGGACAATAGTGAGATTAACAGTCGGCTTTTCTATCTTCTGCCTTTTAATGTTTCTTTTTTTTGGTGCTGTTTTTTACTCCTCCCCCCGCCCGGCACACCGCTCTGCCTCCCCCACTTTACAGGATCCATTAAACTTGAGTTTAAAAGTATCGGAAGATAATTTGAATAAGTCCGATGAACAGGGCAGTTATTGTGCAACAACAACAACAACAACGGCAGCAGCAGCAACACCACCACCACCAACAACAACAGCAATGACTACAACTCATAGTAGTACTGCTTTCAATATACAAGAAACAATGACAAACAACCCAATGGATTGCGTGAAACGAGGACATGCGAAGAAATACTTTAAAAATTACTGTTTCATTTCCTATCGCATTAATCGTGCACGTAAAATGATACATTACAAATTGAATAAACGCTTATTATGCTTACAGATGAAAAGAAAGCAGCATATTCAAGATGTCAGAGGAAAATTTTTTACAAAGCGTAAAACTATCCTTGTGAGTTTGTATACCATTACATTACATATATATATGTAAAATTTATTTGAATGCATCAAAATTTCATATAGTATATAATATATGTAAGGTGGTAATATTGGAAAAATAAACTCATTAACGGATAAACACAGAACATATGTTAGTATATTTATTGTCTTTGTAACTGTGAAATTTTATTTTTGCCGCTTCGTACTTCTGGTTACTTATTTTTCGACTGAACAGATAGTTTTATGATGCTGTACAGCGCAAAGTGTACCTAGGGGAAAGTTAAAGGAGAAAAGAATTATTTAAGGCAGCCTAAAAAAGACGCTAAATCGATGCTTCTTTGTGTAGAATTATTATTATTATTATGTTTCCTTTAATCCCTAGAGGAACATAGGGCTTCAGCCGTGCATCTCCATTGCATTCGGTTCTCTGATAGAGTTTTCACCTGGCTCCATGTCTGCCACCCACATGCTTTCATCTCCTCTTCACATGACTTCCTGCAAGTCACCCTTGCACTGACGACCAACATTGTCGCTTCCCTTTCGGGTTCCATTCGAGCAATGGCTTGCCTAGTGATGTCACTTACTTGATGGTTTGTTTTCTCATAGTATGGCCAATCCATCTCCATTTCTTCCTGAATATTTGTTTCACAATCAGTTCCTGCTGGGTTGGTTTGCTCCCTGAGATCCCTCACTATTGCTGATCTGTTCTGGCCATCTGATCTTGAGTATTGAGCGAAGACAACTGTCAATGAAGGTCTGTAGTTTGTTTGAGATGCTCTTTATAACGCGTAGTGCAAGTCTCTGATCCGTATAGTGAATAGCACTGACTTCACATTGGAGTTGAAAATCCAGATCTTATTTTTGATGCTGAGCAGTGCTGTTGACCTCCACACAGACTTGAGAGTAGTGAAAGGTTGTCTTGCTTTCCCGATCCTCGCTTTGATATCCTCGTCAGTTCCATGTGCCTGTAGTTGAAACGATGCTTCCCGTATCGGTAGGTGAAGGAGGTTGTTTCTTTCAGATTCCTCCCATTTATGCTGGCTGATTGTTGCCTGATGTTGTTGTTCTTGTCCAGGGATCTTCATCACCTCTGTTTTCCCTATGTTCACCTGAAGTCCTATCTTTGATGTTTCTTCTGCCAACTTGTTGCTTTTCGCTTGCATATCTTCCAGTTTGTAGGAAATCAGACATATATCATCGGCGAAGTCCAGATCCATTATTAAGGCATACTCATCATGAAATGCAAGTCTCATTCCATTCAGCATTTCCATTTAATTCATTGCTATTAATTACTCACGAATTCACTAACTGAGGCGCCAAATATGCTCGGTGTGCCTTCCTTGATTACACATTTGCCTTTGACCCTGAACCTAGGCGTCTTTTGTTAAACAGGCTTGCTGTTTAACAAGCACAGTGCTGCATTACCAAGTGGTTGCGGTCCTATTTTTCCGATAGGAAGCAGTACACTGCTTCACCTACTCCAGCTGGTGTTCCTCAGGGAGCTGTTCTTTCTCCTTTTCTGTTTCCCTTCTTATTATATGACTTGCTCCATTCTGATGAAGCCGATTTTGTCAAGTATGTCGATGATGTATCTGACTGTTCATATGCCAGCAGTTATGTCTCAGTCAGGCTATTCCAAAAGCACCAGTTTTTATCAGAAATTACTGAACTTGAAACTAAATCGAATGTTAAGTACCTTCGACTGTATATTTCCTCGGATATTTCCCGGTTTTTCCACATCATGTTAGTTTCCATAAAGATATTTCGTTTGACGATCCGTGTAAGGAAGTTAAGACGATCTGGTATCACTCAGTCTCTATTTTATAAGTTTGTTGATTCTTGCATTTTACCTATTCTTCTTTACTGATCCTCGTCACTTAATCTTTTCTGGGCTACTAAAGAAAGGCCTCGTTATACTGCAAAAGGCACTTAAAGCTATCTTTAAGGTGAGTGGGATTTCGCTACACCAATTCGTTAATACTACTGCAGACAGACATTTGGATTCCTGTAAGAAATTAGCAAATATTATCCTGTCAGACTCTGAACATCCTCTCCATACACAGATTTCTCCTTGCATCTATCTCATCAGGTAGAACCAGAAGCAACTATAGAAGACTGTATGCTCGGAAGACTAAGTACAAAAACTCTACGATACCTTATTTGGCAAGCACACATTTTATGTAATGAGAAAAGTGTAAGACATGACACCACCAACCTACTGAGAAACACTGAGTAAATGGGCCCTTTTTATTCTTTCTTTCATTATTATTTTGTGGTTAATATTTTTACCTAATTTCCTATTCATATTCTTAGTGAACAATATTATCACTGTAAACGCCCTGTTTGATTATTACCCCTGTGATGAGAAAATTAGATGCCAAAAAACTGTACTACATGCTGGGGAATTCCATATTTGTACCGAAAGTTCTGTCTGGAGTAAAAGCTATTATTATCATTATTACTAGTAAACATTTAGTTCTGTTTCAATACTAAGAGTAACTGTCTTTTCTATAAGGTGAAAATTCGGTGGAATAAACTGATGTATTACCCAATGCTTTTAAATCAATCTACATGGATTATTTGAAAATATTAATTTGTCATTCTAGTTCCTTCTACATTATATATACTATTACTATCCTATCAGGGTTCCGAGTAGAACATAGGACTTCAACAACACATCTCCACTTTCTTCTATTTTCTGCTGTCCTCTTCAGCTAGATGACCCAACGACTGCCCATAATCTCTCACCTCCCCCTTGCAACACGATCTCATCCATGTCACCCTCACGCCGACGACCCACTCGTCGCTTACTATTCGGATTCCAATCGAGTTATGGTCTGCATGCGAGCGATGTCATTCGACGGCCTCCTCAGTGTGTGCCCAGTCCATTTCCATTTCCTCCTACATATTTGTTAGGTGATCAGCTCTTGCCTGTTGGTTTGTTCTCAGACAGCCGCAATTTCTTGTTTCTGATTCTTTCTGGTGATTTGATCTTCAGTGTGAAGTCAGAGAAGGTAGTTGTTGATTAAAGTCTGTAACTTGTTGGAAATGCTTTTCTTGACTCTCAGACCAAGTTTTTAACCGGTATAGAAGGACTGACTTCACATTTGTGTTGAACAGGATCCGAATCTTGTTGTTTATGTTGAGGCGGAGTGCAGTGCAGGAGATTTCCAAACTGATTTCAGGTTGATGAAGGTGTGCGTATCTTGCCTTTCCAATTCTGACTGGCTGGTTTTGACATTTCCGTGCATTCTGAATTCCTGTAGTCGAAACGATGCTTCCTAAATAAGTGAAGGAGGTAACGTCTGTCAAATCTCTCCCGTTGATGGTGATTGGTGCTGGTCGGTTGGTTGGTTATCTTCGTCACCTCCGTCTTCTCTATGTTCACCTGGAATCTCTTCTTCGCTGCCTGCCAGCCTCTTCTGCCATTTCACTGGTTTTTGCCTGCAAGTCTTCGAGTTTGTGTGACATTAAACATAAATAATCCACTTGCGAAATCCAGATCTTCTAGAGTCTTCTTCTTCTCAATCCCCACTCACAGTCTAATGCATAATCCAGTCCACCACAATTTAGGATATCATCTGTATGATCCGAATTAAGTTTTCCTTAAAAACAAAAAAGATGGGAAAGATGTCCTTTTTTTATCCACACCGAATAACACTTGAAATAATGCAACTAAGCTAAGCTTCTCAGGTAAAGTGATATCTGTTCTACTGAATACTAGAGCCTTGAGTAGACTATGCAGAATCCAGCATACTTGTCGTGGAACGGTTCCAGGTCTTTAGTGGACTCTGACACGATAGACTCTACCATCTAACTGTTTTAAGCATGCTAGGGGACTAGATATATTAAAATACAGAAGCTGCTGGAATCTGAAGTTATAGAGTCACTAGATAGCTCCAGATGACAGGAAATTACAGGAGCATATGAAACGTGTACAGCAATTGAACAAAGGTGAACGAACACAAATGACAGAAGTTGATAAAGGTAATTAGAACGAATAGGAGGGGACCAGTTGCGGTAACCGTTTAATCTGACTATTTTATCTCTATCCTGTAACTACTACATTAGGCGCATTTTATATTCCGTCAGTCATGTGATATTATTGTTGACGTGAATGTTAATCTCAAAATACATAGTTACCTAATTTTGTTTGTATGCGTACATGCATGCATACATACATACACATATACACCGTGTTTACAATAAGGCCATCCACAGGTTGAATTACCATATGAATGATACGAATCAACTGTGAAATGACTAAGTTATATTTATGAGACAGATTTCTTTTTTTTTAAGATAGTCGAAATCCATTGAGACAGCTAACAGTAGGCAAAAAGCAGCAGGTTTTTACTTTTTCACCTCTCTTTATGTTCGATCATAGGTGTCTGCGTTCTATCTCCCGCGTGAAGTGGTATAATAAGGTGAGCAATATTCAGGTTAGGCGTCGAGTGCTAGGTAAGGAGGGGAAATCAATCGACGAAGCCGTGAAATTACATCGACTGAGATGGTTAGGACATGTGCTGAGTATGCCTAGTCATCTCCTTCCTCGACGGGCAATGTTAGCCGATATAGGGCCAGGCTGGAAAAGAGCTAGCGGCGTCAAACGAAAACATGGCACCAATCAATGAAATCCACAACAGTCAGTCTAAGCCACGTAGGAAGGTGCAGACTTCATGACTGGTTGGGGTCCTCGGGACGGTAAAAACCAATGGTTGGAAACAATTGGTGTCATGGCTCAAAATCGTTCTCAGTGGCGCAGATGCATCCACTCCTTGTGACTTATGATTTCCAATGAAACTGTTTTGTTCTTCGTTATTACTATTCCTTTTGTTTCACACCTCTGTTTACTGTCTATATTATGCATTTCTTCTACTTTCTTCTCTTGCTTTGTGTGCTACTTGGAGGGAGTGTGGCGACTTGAACTGCCGCACATATGTGCAAAGTTCTATGTCGAAAACCGACCGACCGACCGACCTTTATGAACCTGTCAGTAGTATGCAACGATAGGATTTAAATCTTTTTCTCCCAAAGCATGATAACATTGGGGCGGTTTAAAATGTCTGATTTTCTCTGCTCTTTGATATAAGAACAGAACTTGTGCACCGTGGTAGAGTATGGGTAAAATTTATTTTGATAAAATCGCACAGTGTTGTACTCTAATATTTACTGATGACGACCACTTTTCGAGCACAATTTATTACTGCTCATAATCATATCCGGGCACTACTCACACAACTTTCTTGCTTCATTTATATACATGAGTAAAATTGATTAGACATTTGAATAAAATTCAGTATAAGATAAAGTACCTTTGGAAATGATATTAGTGTTATGAATAAAATACAATAGGATGGGAAATAAGATGTTTTTATAGTCAAAATAAGTAACTTGTTAGAATGTTATAATGTGAATTGAAAAATACATTTTAACATTATTTATTGTCCTCTGATTTGACTGGTGGTAATAATATCTTCCATATCTCTGGTATTTGCACAGAAGAAGGTAGGCTGTACACTAGCGTTTATAAAAAGCCAACGCATTCTGCTAATAGATATTTAGACTTGAATTCATCTCATCCGTTAACTGTTAAGGCAGGCTTAGTAGTTGAGTGTCTAACAAACCGAGCAGTAGCACTAAGTAGCACAAGAAATGACCTGAATGATGAAATGAAACAGATAGAAGAAACATTGGTGTTGAATAACTATCCTATAAAATTCATTAGGAAGATCGAAAAAGGCCAAAAGCAAAATAAAAATAATGGGGAAACTAGTAATGATAACACAAATAAGAGAGAATATAAGGCATCTACAGTTTTGCTATATAAGGATTCTCAATAAAGCAGGAATTAGGGTGGCCTACAAACCTACAAACTCACTCAGAGGACAAGCTCTGTAGGTTAAAGGACCCTGTCGTTGGACTCAATTTAACAAAATAATATAATTCACAAGATATTTTGCAATGTCTGTGAGTGAAGTCAAACTAGTAGGTCGGGAGTGGTCAGATTGTCTGAACATAAGAATTCAGTTAAGGTTAGAATGATTGATCCCACGAAGATAAGTAATTGAGAAAAAAGCACTCAGCGATTGCACTGCATGCATTAACACACAATAGTGTGGGGTCGGACAGAGTCGAAATTCTAGAAAGTAATACAGGTAGGTGGAGAGAGAGATTGATTCAACGCAAATACCAGAAATATGGAAGATATTATTACCAGTCAAATCACAGGATAATAAATAGTTCATATAAGTATAAAACTTGGACACTGTGATAGAGTGCTCGAAACGTGGTCATCAGTAAATTTTACTGTATAACACACTGTGTGATTTATCAAAATAAAATCTTATCCATATTGGAGTTATACTCTACCACAGTGCCCAACTTTTACACTTATATCACTTATTTTGTTAAGCATTTACATAAAATGTTTCTGTTTACTGAAATAATGTTTACACGCATACAGTTTTGTTTTTGTCTGCTCTGTGTAAATATCCTCACGTGGACAACAATGCATGTGCATAACCTTCCACTGGAACTTGTGTGAAAAATTTCGAAGTGAAAAAATTTATAGGTTAATTTTTCACCGAAAAATAAAACCGCTAAGCTAATTAATTATCAACAACACAAATGAATGCTAATTTTTTTTCAAAAATTTTTTCCGTCAACATTTTCTTTGTAATCACTGTGTGTTCTTTTCGTTGGATTTTGTTGAAGATGTTGTCCAGGTGGACAACAACGAAAGTGTCGCAATTAAGCTGCCTGGCTCAGAGAAGGGATTGTTTTATATTCTATGAGAAATTCTATCGGTTTATATGGAGACAGGAATCTTTCGGTTTTCAAAGTCCCGCTTTATTTAACACAATAAAAGTTGTAGAACTTCAAGGCATTAGATATAATTTTAAACTGCTTTTCCATTTTTTTATTCCTTCACGTTCCCAGTGGAACATAGGGCTTCAAGCTAGAGGCTTGAAGTTCCTGTAGCAGTGTTTATTTTTACAGGATCAGGTTGCTAGCCTCATGCCCAACCTTTCCCCTTTATTTCAGGCTTAGCGAGGTGAAGGAGTGCGTCTGTGGCCGGGGATCGAACCCCGGACTATGTGCATGGTCGGCGGGCATCCTAACCACTATGCCACCGACGCTTTTCCATAGTGTACAGTTAAAGACTATACAATTCTTGCATTTTCGTTGATTTAATGAAGAGTTGTCGATCGTGCCTTTCCTTTATTGTATATAAGGAGGATACAATTCGAAAGGAAAAGTTATTTTGACGGGGATTCGTGTGAATAGTCTTCAACACTTTCAGGCAGTTTGTTATTGGAGACTTACTTCTATGTTCAGCAGGGAACTTTTGTAATTTGTAATAGAAACCAACGTTAGTCTTTTTGATTACTCTTAGACCACTCGTAACTATGTTTATTATTATTATTATTTTTTGATAATTTTTCAGGATAAACGTTGTGAGCAAAAAGCCAACTGGTCAAAAAATCAATCAAAGATATCGGAGTGTCAGGCCGATAGGACAATTATTACTCCTCGTCATTCTGTGAACATTATGACAAAATCATACAATTTACACCACCGGCAAAAACAAATGCAGAGAAAGGTGAAACAACGGTCAATGAAACAACGTAATGCAGTTAATAAATTTCTCGGAGAGGACTCTTCTTCTATTTCTAATACTGCCTCCCTCCATGTGAATGATATCAATATACTTCCTCCTATGAATAATGAAATCCAGTATATCTCAGAAAATCAGAAGAACAATGATTCACTTACAAATGGTGGAAAGCTTTTTACACCGGCAATTAAATCCCCTGGATCTATCCTCCCAACTCAGATATTCTGCCCTTTATGCTTAGATGGAGAAGCTTTTACTCAGCCGAGTGAATTTATGCTCCATTTAAAACAGAAACATCCAGTTTCTGAGTGTGAATCAGTTATGAATTTGTTTAAAACACAACTGGAACTATACAACTCTCAGAATCTTATCTTTCAAATAAACAATCTAGCCGCATCAAACGGTAGCTTGAAGTCTGCACCACTAAATACATGCAATAATGTGTTCGCACTATCACCAAATAATATGCTGGCTGTATCGTCATCATCTATGGGGAATACAGAGTCTGTAAATACTACTTCATGGCCTGAAACTCAAAATGAAATCATCTACGGCATCCAACCAAATAATAATAACAATAATAATAATAGTAATCAGAATAAATCATTAAATTCACTGGCTTTTACTGAACCTATGGAAACAACTCCTCCTACTTGTTGTTATCCGGCGTCAATTGTTTCTCAGTCATCGGTGATCCTGTCATCGTCGCCATCACCATCATCATTACCAATGTGTTCTTCTATTGCTTCATCGATTTCTAACCCAATTATGCCTACTTCTCGATCGCTTGGAAGACCTTTATTCATGCCAGTCAATTCGTTTACAAAAACTCTTTCAACCATATAACTAAATCAACAGCAAGGCCAAAAATGAAATCTAACAATGGGAATGAGTAACTTGCACGTCTTGACGCGCAGAACATAATTTCAGTGTGTATGCAGGAGTGATCCTAATCACTGATTCTTATCTACAATAACAATAGAGTGGTACACCTTTTACTATTCTGTTTCCGTGTAATCTTTTCAGTTACTCTACATAAACGTTTTTTCTTCTTCTTCTGTGGATGAAAGTAAAGCCAATGCAGGCCTATTTATAAAACCAGAAAGAAAACTGAATCTTTCATAATGAAAGACAAGCGTATTGTGAAGACTTTGTTGACAGGCTGTTGGTATCAATTTTTTTCTGACTCTCCGTAGTTTGAATCCGGCATGTTGTTGTCAGTTTATCTGCTCTTCCCTTTCTCCTTTTACCACCAAAATGACCAAATAACCGCGTCTCTGTTCTTTGCTTAACGTCTTCTGTCCATTTCTCTCTTTTTCTCTCTCTATATATGTATTTGTATACACATACTGCTTGGACGGTTAATGGGCACCTTCCACGTATTCGCTTCACACGGTGGTTTTCTGTCTATAGAACTCGAATCAATAAATAAATGAATACTCTGAAGGTGAATAGATAGATTGGATAGAAAACATGTTAGAGGAAGAAGAGTAAAACTGAATCACTGAATGAAGCTGTTTGTATTTTGTTCCGAATTGCTTCCTTTTTTTCTTCTTCTTTCATGATACTACTTATTACACTACGTATATCAATTTTGTACATAATATTTTGTATACTTTAAATTTAAGCGGGTTCTTTTACATTGAGTACACACTGGCACGCTCACTCACACTCACACGCACACACACAGGCACACACACATACGAGTGCACAGTTAATACAATCTCCTGCACAAACACACACATACACATATACACATTCACAGCTGTATCTATAGGTGAACCTGGAACTGAAGGACAAATGAAGATTGAATATTGTTGTTTTGCAAGATTAGTTAATTTACAGATAGACAAATATAAATATGAGTTGTTGATCTTATATTCAATATATATATATAAATAAATGTTATGTTGCGTTCGTTCCTTGTTCTTGGGAGTTTTCATTTTGACGTTCCTACTGTAGTGGCACTGCTGGTAACGACTGACAGAAGGCGTCTGTTAGTATTTACGTTTGATTGAGCTTTTGACGGTGTATACATCTGCAAATATTTTGTTTAATACACGGGTCAGCATGAATCTAAGACGAATAGCCCAGCGATGCCATCATATTATTTACAGACTATATATATATATATATATATATGAGTCTGTGTTTTAGTGGTGGAATAGCCACCAATCACGCGTGTGATTAGGGTTCGATTCTTGACCGAATGCTCTCCTAAACCTCGCCTAACCGGTAGTAGCCCAGTAAAGAGGAAACGTTGAGCGTGAGGCTAGCAACCGCACCTCGTAAAACATCACCGCTGTTGAAACCTCAAAGATCAAGCTTGAAACTTTATATTCCACTCGGGACGAAAAGGAACCTATATATATATATATATATTTCATGACGAAGTGGAAATAACTATTTGACATTATTATTTCATGAAAACAAAACACGTAGATCAGCGAAGAGTCTCTTTTCGGCGGCGAATTCATTTTCGTAGCTGTACAATCGCAAATATATATATATGTGTTATTTTGTATGTAAGCGCACATTAGCTTTGTCAAACAAAAATACAGTCGGTTATGGTTATTTCAACTAAACAGGTGAAGATTGGTAATTGGAGTTACGTAATACAAAATCAGTCAAGAAAATTAGGTGTTAGTGAAATTAGGGTAGTAACAAAGGTGATGAGTTGTCACAAACAGTTGTTAAAAGAAGTTATGTAATAATATGAATAGTTTGATGAGTGAGTTTTACTCAGAATGCACATAGGAACAAAGTAGATAATACGAAATTACGTAAGAGTTCTAAATGAATACAAGAATTATAAGCAATTAAAGAACAGGCAAAGAAACAAAATTAAGTCATCAAAATAAAAAAAATCAAATCAAATCAAAAAAGTTGTTACCAAGACAGTAGAAGTGGTTGAGTAATTCTCTTTTATATGCACAGCTTCGGTTTTTCTGTATGAATGGCCAGAGCTTCAGCGATACAAAGAAGGCGAAACCGTATTGCCTTTGATAGGTTGTTCTTGACTCTGTAGATTACTTTGAAGGAGGCGTTTGTTGAAATGGAATGATCAGTGTTAACCAGGTGTTCAATTATCGCACTCCTTATTGCACCACTATTGCCTTTTCGCAACCATGCTGGATAGTGTTCTTGAATCCTCTTGGACAGGGTGCGCGTCGAACGATTCCTTTACTTTCCTAGCAGAACAAAGGGCCTCAAGCCAAAGGCTGGTGTTTTGTTTTTTACTGGGTGGGGTTGCTAACCTTATGTCCAACTTTCCCTATTTACCACTCTTATTACCTGCTTAGCGAGGTTAAGGAGTGTGTGGGCTGAGGATCAAACTCTGGACCACAAGCACGGTTGGCGGGCATTCTACCACCGTACCACTGACGCAATATCTGATATTAGCTACCTCCACATATGACGTATTTTATAATGTTAATCTAAAGTATGGATCGACCGCATTTAGATATGAATTTAATCAGTGCCTACAATATTTCATAGGACAATAACTGTCTAAGTGTTACTTTATGATGCTTCCTTCAATCCTTTTAAGCGAAACAAACCTCTTGAAGCAAATAAACCTGGAAAACCTAATGGATTACTACAAAAGTGACCGTAGAGATGAAATAATAAGCGGGAACCTAGAGCTATACACGGAATTATAAAATAGTAAATATTAAACATAAGACAAGACTGCCTAATATTATGAATGATATTCCTGATTGTGGTAGACTGGATTATAGAACAGACCGTCGGGAGAGAGAAGAATGGCATACATTGAACCGACAAGAGGACACTTGAAGATCTGGACAGCACGAATTATTTATGTCTAATGTCATACAAACTTGAAGATTTACAGGTGAAAACCAAAAGGTTATCAAAAGAGGCCGGTATCGAGAATGGAGGGGTGATGAAGATACCTCACCATCGACAAAAAAACCAACAAGCACCAATCCCTATCAACGAGAGAAATCTGAACGAGCTCAGTTCCTTCACTTATGTAGGCAGTAGCGTTCCAAATACAGGAGACATGGATGATGACATTGAAGGCACGGTCGGAAAAGCAAGACAGACAGTCACTGAAAGCATTTAAAATGGAGATGGATCGGTTATATACGCTAAGGACACCGCTGAGTGGAATCACGCGTCAGGCTGATTCTCAAGTGGAACCCAAATGGGATACGACGATTTTAGCGTTAGTTCCAGGGTAATATAGAGGAGGTCGTGTAAGGAGGAGTTGAGAGCTGGTGGATAATCGTGGAACCAAGTGAAAAAGACTGGAGAGAACAGGAAATAAGGGAGATGTACTGCTGAAGCCCTATGTTCGATCCACTCGGAATACAACGGAATAATAATAATAATAATCTTGAACACAATAGTAAAATAATAAATATGAACATAACTCATAAGTTAATGACTTCTTTTTTAAAAAAAGTACTCGTATGTAGCAGTGGTGAGGAAGAAATGAAGGAATCATCGCTTCCAATTTAGAAATCAAAGGTTTTCACTAAAACAAAATGATTTGAAGATTATTCACCAATAGTCCTAGGCGCTAGGCTGAAATGAATACTCAACCCAACTCGCTTGGTCAGTAAACTACAACGTGAGCAGTAAATAGTTGATATATATTGTCATTTCGAGTTAGTAAAACACCATTACTAATGTTCGGAACAGGAAATATCGCTTTCCAGACAACCGGTTCCATTTATTAGTTTGAATAAAGAAAGGACGAACGTATCTGCTGGATAATTTGAGCTCACTTTATTTGATCGATTCTCTGCAACTACGTACAAATTCACTCGGTTGTTCTGTCTTGCATTTTGTAACGTATTATTTGACTTTGTTCTGGGTGTACTCGGTTGAAGAGAATCTCCTATTATCCTGCAAATGTCACTTTTGTTATCCAGTGAACTACATTAACAAATTTTTAATAAACTATTGTAGGTATTTTTAATATATTTATGCGTTGAAGTTTCTGTAGCAATTTGGTTAAGTTTTTGGGGTGGAGTTGCCAACACATTGCCGCCACCCTCCCTCTTTATCCGGGCATAGGACCGGCTAGAAAACTAGCGAGCTAGTAATCTAGGCGAGGTTAAGGTTTCCAGGTGAACATAGACAAGACGGAGGTTATGAAAATAATAACCAACCAACAACAACAACAGCAAAAACAGCACCAACATCCAGCGCCAATCACCATCTACTCGTAGGATTTGAAAGAGGTTACTTCATTAACTTATCGATGGAGCATTGTCTCAACTACAGGAATTCGGAACGGACGAGGATGTCAAATCGAGAATCGCGAAGGCGAGAAACACATTCATCAACCTGAAACCAATCTGGATATCTTCGTCACTCAACATCAACAACAAAATTCGGATTTTCAATACAAACGTCAAGTCAGTCAGTTCTTCTATACGGATCAGAAACTTGGCCAGCGGGTCACAAAGAATATTTCCAACAGCCTGTTGCAGACCTTTATCAACAACTGTCTTCGCTCTATACTCAAGATCAGATGGCGGGAAAGAATCACCAACAAGAAACTATGCGAACAAGCAAAACAAGAACCAACTGCCCAAAAAATATGCAGGAGAAAGTGGAGATGGATTGGACACTCGTTGAGGAGGCCGCTGGATGACATCACACGTCAGGCCATAGCTCGAGTGGAATCTGAAAGAGAAGCGGCGAGTGGGACGTCCAAGGGTGGGTGACATGGAGGAGATCGTGTGAAGAAGGGTTGAAACAGAGTGGACTAACATGGACGCACGTGAAAAGTACAGCAGAAGACAGAAGCAAGTGGAGACGTGCAGTTGAAGCCCTATGTTCCACTAGGAACCCAAGGGAACAATAACAATAGTAATAATATTGTAGTTATTAGTGAAACCTTTATGTATTTGGAAAGGATTATAAGGTTTAGAAGGAGAAGTGCTGGAATTTTACATTTACCTGCCATTATATCCAATTATTTGATAAATACTCATAAAATATTTTTTACGTTAGAT